TGCCACAAAACTGGTTGTTCCAGAGCTTTCTATTCCTGTCTCTTTTAGGGGAATTAAAAGATGCAGAGGGCCTGGATAAAACAGGGAGGGCATCCTAGGTGGGGTGGAAGGGGCCTGGAGAGGGGAGAAGAAACTCCTTGGCCCCCAAGAAGGGCATGGAGGTAAGGAGGAGCTGTTCCAGGTGGGCAGGATGCCAGGATGACCTTACCACCAGGCAAGCCTGCATCTCTCTCTCTCTCTCTCTCTTTTTAAAGACTTTATTTATTCATTCATTTGAGAGAGAGACGCAGCACAGCGGGGCGGGGGCGGGCGGAGGGAGAGGGAGAAGCGGACTCCTCACCGAGCAGGGAGCCTGCCGCGGGGCTCAAACCCAGGAACTGGAAATCACAACTGAGCTGAAGGCAGACGCCCAACCGTCTGAGCCACCCAGATGCAGAGCCGGCATCTCTGCAGCTGCCAGGGACCCAGTTTCCCATCTTCTCGATCCCCAGACACCAGTTCTTCCCCTCTGCCCTAGACAGCCCACGGAGGCAGGAGGGAGGCTGCAGTGTCTGGCGGAGGCTCCCCTTCATATTCGCCCACTGGGCCACTCCCTGATGGACCCCAAGTGCGAGGCTCCACTATCCCTGTCCAAGGTTCTCTTGTCTTCCTGATGGCCTCCTCCATCATCCCTGGAGAGAGAGGTGGCTTATCTGTTACCAAGGGCTAGTGAGGGTTGGGAAAGTATGTTCCTGTGTGTGTGTATGGAAGTTGGGTGTGTGTGTGAGAGAGACAGAATGTGTCTGCAAATGGATGTGCGTGTCCCTGTGAACAGAAACTGGGATCCTATGTGTGGCCCCTCAGCCTGGCTCCATCCAGGCTGAGTCCGGGAGTGGGGGTGGGGGGGAGGCAGTGCAGGGGGCGGGAACACGAATGCCTCCCTCCCCTGTCTCTGCCTTCCCTAGGTCTCCTGTCTGGCAGATGCGGGGGAGACCCCAGCCTCTGGCAGGACTGCATCCCGCCAAGACCCTGAGTATCTCCTCTGCCGATGTCCTCCGCTCAACCCACCTCCCCCAAGATGCGGTCCCAGGGCTGGCTCCCAAAACTGTTCCAGTTGAAGAGGTTGTTTGAGGTCAGCCACCTGGGAAGGGAGAAGTGGGGTCCAACTGTCCTTTTAGCCCCCTGTTATGTGGACTTTTTCAAGTTCAGACAGGGTCCAGCTTCCTCTGTCTGAGTTGTGGGTCCCACATCGGGCCGGGTAGGGAGTGAGAGGCAGGGCTGGGGCCCCTTGGAAAAGGATCACAGCTTCGGTAGTATAGGGGAGGGGGAGGCGGGGGCGGGTTCTTCTAGAACTTCCTGGGAGGTGCTGCCAGGCAATCAGAACCCAGCCCCGGAGTGAGGAGTCTGGCTCTGTTATGTCCCACCCAGATGTCTCTCACTGTGAGTGCAGGGAAAGTCCGGTGGTTGCAAGGTCAAGAGCATGTTATGGATACCGTGTATCCTGCCCCCAGCAGAAGGACATCTCTGTTAAAGGCTGGAGAATATAAAAGCACATTCAGTGGAATTGGGGCAAAGGACCCAAGTTGTCTTAGATATCATTGATTGGCATCAGAAACCCATTTGAGCTAGCTAAAGTGAGGTGGGTCACCGGAAGCAAACAGGGGAAGCCAATTACCAATTGGCTCCTCCCTCACCTCTCCCAGAGCGCCATACCCTCTGGACAGACCCTACTCTCCTCTGCCAAACTCTCTTGCTTAACCTTTCTGTAAGTCCTGCATAGCTATGCTACAACACACCAGGGTCCGTCCCTTCACCAGCTTTCAGGGACCCTGTCGTGGACTGAATAGTATTCCCCCCAAACTCACATCCACCTTGAACCTTAGAACATGACCTTACTTGGAAAAGCGTCTTTGCAAATGTAATGAGTTAAGATGAGGTCAGACTGGCTTAGATTGGGCCCTAAGTTCAATGATCGGTGTCCTTATAAGAAGAGGAGAGGGGGCGCCTGGGTGGCTCAGTGGGTTAAAGCCTCTGCCTTCGGCTCGGGTCGTGATCCCGGGGTCCTGGGATCGAGCCCCACATGGGGCTCTCTGCTTAGCGGGGAGCCTGCTTCCTCCTCTCTCTCTCTCTGCCTGCCTCTCTGCCTACTTGTGATCTCTGTCTGTCCAATAAATAAAATAAAATCTTAAAAAAAAAAAAAAAGAAGAGAGGACACAGAGACACAGAGACAAAGGGCCTGTAGACACACAAGTCAGAGGGCCACCTAAAGACAGAGCAGACAATGCAGTGAGCAGCTCCTAGCCAAGGAGCACCTGCGGCCAGCAGAAGCTGGAAGAGGCAAAGGATTCCTCCTGAGCGCCTGGAGGGAGTGTGCCCCTGCTGACCCCTTGATTTCAGACTTCTAGACTCCAGGATCACGGGAGAGTAAATTTCTGTTGTTTCAAGCCACCACGTTTGTGATCGTTTGTTACGGCAGCCCTAGGAAACAAATAAGCCAGAGAATTCCCCGCTTGGGAGCTGGATCCCCTCTGCATGTGTTCCAAAGCCAAGGACGGGAACAGTCGGCCCACTTTGGTCAGGTGTCTGCTTCCCCCACCAGGGACCCATGAGCCACTGGGACTAAGAATGGGCAGGGGGCACAGATGTGAGTCTCAGAGCTGTCCCCATTTACACCCTCATATCGTCGCTTTACCCGGAGGGTGTGGATTCACATTTCAGGTTGGAGGAAAGAGTCTCTCCAGGTATGCCTGGGAGTTCTGTGACTTCCACACATCAATCAGCTACTTAGGTGAAGACAGAAGACTGCTGTCACCTGGGCCGATCGATGCGACAAAGCCAGGAAGAATCGCGCCCCTGTGGGATGACAGAATCAGGATTCAAGAAGCTCTTTGCAAGTTAGAAAGTCAACACCATGCGATGATGTTGAATGAAAATGAGGGTGAAGGCCAACTCTTGGGTTCCAAGAGTCAGTCTCGCAAGGGAAATGTGGCTGAAGCCTGCCTTAGCAGCAGCTCCTTGTGAGAGAGAACTAAAGGCTGCCTTTGCCTGGTGGCTGATAAGGAACCAGTGCTGTGGTCCAGCTGGCTAAGAGCTTTGATTGCCCGGAGAGAAGCAGAGCAGCTGCTGCTTGGCTGGAGAGACATGGGGTTCTGGGGCTCCCGGCAGCCCACACCTAAGAGAGACAGGGAAAACACGGACTCCAGCAGGGAACCAGAGGGACGGCCTGGCCCCCTACTGCGCAGCACAGGGTTAGTTGAAGATGCGACGGGGAGGGGTCGCCCCAGAGTTAGTTATCAGTTGTCCTGGGCACCTCCAGGCAATGACGCTGTGAGGAGGCACAGCTAACCAACGGGGACCTTCTGGGGCCTGTTCCAAGGCGGTGGCTGCGGAGGTGTTGCTGGGGCGCCCCCAAACAGGGTCATCTCAGCTGCAGAGCCTGGGCCTAGCTCTGTCTGCACGCCAGGGCTTTGAAGAGCCGTGTGCCCCGCAGGGTGGGGGTGGGGGGCCCCCCCGTTGTCCTGGAGCCCGGGCGGGGGGGCGGTCTGGCCGCGATTCTCCGCTGCGCACGCGGGCGACCGTGGTGGATGGGTGTGTTTCGGGGCCTCCCAGGGCGCAACGGCCTGCGCTCCTGCCACCCCGGGGCTGCTCCCTCCTTCACCTCTCGCTTGCAGGCGGCCCCTCGGGCGTCGGCTCGGGGCTGGGGCGGGGGGCTGGCGCCCAAGAGGGGGCCGGCGGAGGCGAGCGACGCGGCCCCAAGTTTATGCTAATCCGCGCAGAGCCCGCCTCCCGCCTCCCCTCCGCGGCCCCAGCCGCGAGCAGCGCCGGCCACTCGGCGGGACGCAGCCGCTGCGAAGCGCCAGGCGGCTGGGCCAGCGAGCTCCGGGGGCCGCGAGCGGCAGCGGGACCCGGGCGGGAGGGCGAGCGGCGGGACGGCGCGGCGGGGGGACGCCGGGCGGGGGACCCGCGTGGGGCCAGGTGGAGAGCCGCGGGCCGCGATGGACCGCCGCCTGCCGGTGTGGCTGTGCGCCGTCGCGGCGCTGCTCTCGGGGACGCAGGCCAAGGGCACCCCGCTGGTCCCGCGGCCCGCGCCGCCCGGTGCCCCCCGCTACAGCCTCTACACGACGGGATGGCGCCCGCGGCTGCGCCCGGGGCCGCACAAGTAAGCGCGGGCCGCGCCCGGGCGGGAAGCGGGCGGGATGGGGCCCGGGCGGCGTTCCCACCTGCGCGGACCGCGAGCGCGCGGGAGACGGGGGCGCCGGGCACCGAGGCCGAGCCCCGGCCGGGGCGGGCGCCCCACGCTCCGGGAGGCTGCGGGACCGGCGAAGAAAAATAAGCCGAGGGGGCCTGGCGCGGCGGCTGGAACCTGGCAGTGCCCGCGAAAACCTTTCCAGCGAAGTAACATTTTCCAGCTGCGCTGTGTGCAAACTCGCGGCGCAGCGGACCAGGTGGAGGGAGAGGAGGGAGGGCCGCCCGCGCGAGGCACACACGGGACTCCCCCATGCATTCCCCGCGCGGGGGCCCCACCTTCTCTCCTCTGCCCCTCCAGGTAGGAGATGGGAGCCCAGCGCCCTGCAGCCCGCCCCCACCCGCCGTTAGCCTGACCCCAGCCACCCCTTGGGGAACTCCAGCGTGTTGGCGCCACAGAATTGATGGTGGCTCCTGGGTCCTGGGCCCACCTGTGGCCCCAGAGCCCAACAGCAGCCCGTTGGCGGCTGGCTTTTGCCAGGCCACTACCGCCCCAGCCCTTGTAGCTTGTGAAGGTGGCTCTTGACTCTCTGGAGACCTCAGTTTCTTGTCTTTAGTAGCCAGTGGCTTGGGAACTGGTCCCAGTCAGGGGAGTTAGGGGCTCTAGCTGGAGTGCTGGCTGAATTGGACCGCAGGAGAGTGCTAAGCCCATAGATGACATTCAGCTGGCCTGGTGCATCAGAGCAGGCGTCCTGGAAAAGGCAGTAGAAGAAATGATCAGAGAGCAAGAACCAGGAGCAAAAGATGGAAAGGTGGTGTGTGGGGGTGGGCTGGAACCTACAAGATGGCACCATTTCCCAAGGAGTCAGGGGAGTAAGGATGAGAAGTGTGGTCTTCTAGGAACAAGGAGAAGGGAGAGAAGAGAGATGGGGATCTGGTCCCCTGGGGAGGCCCCAGATGAGGAAGGCAGTTATAGGATCCTCAACAGGCCCCGCCAAGGCCAGATAGTCCAAGGATGCCGGCTGTTCCCCCTTGCAGGGCCCTCTGCGCCTACGTACTGCACAGGAACGTGACCTGTGTCCTACAGGAGGGAGCAGACAGCTACGTGAAGGCCGAGTACCGACAGTGTGGATGGGGGCCCAAGTGCCCCGGGACAGTCACGTGAGTGCACCCCTATCTGGCCCACTCAGGGCTGCTGGGCACTTCCACTTCCTCCCAGAGTGGCAGCCAGCGCCACAAGAGGGTGTAGCTCCTTGGACTCCCATGCAGGCCGGCTGGAGAGGGCTAGGGAGGACACATGGCAGGTTCAGGTCAGGGCCCACAGCGTGGGGCACAGGAGGGGTTCCCAGAAGACACATAGGACAAGGCAAGGAAGAAGCAGTAGAAGCAATGAGGGTTGGAGGTGATCGGAGAGGGCAGAGGGTCACACCGACAACCGTGGTGCCAAAGGGGCCCTGGGAAGACCCAGGGAGGGCTGAGGGGACGGTGGAGAAGGCAGGCCAAGGGTGAGGGGCCAGAAGGCAAGTTGCCGGGGCTGTATGAGGGCATGTGGGATGGTGCACAGGTGTGATGCCCAGGTCTGTACTTGGAGACGTTCAAGTGCATGTCTGAAAACAATCCCATTTGCTCCAGTGTGTCAGTGGGTGAACAGGTACGTGGCTGGGGGGGTGAGGAGTGACCCTGGCCAGCCCTGACCCACACCCCTGGGCCTCCCTTCTGTGCTCAGAATCAGAGGTGCCCTGTACTGGCCTGGGTGGCCAGAGATGAGTTCCCAGAGTAGACTAGGAAGGGGTAGAGAGAATGGAGGGGACTGATGGGAGCCAAGAGTGGCCCCAGCACCCTTAGAAGGGCTGCCCACCCCAACTCCCGGGCAGCACCCCCTTGCACACCCATAGGGAAGGAGCCGAGGTCAGGATTCTTCTAGGTAAGAGCCAAAGCCAGAGTGGGATTTCTGATGGCAACTTGAGCTAAACGGGGTCCAAATGGGCCTTGGGGATACTGGGGCTAAATCCCTGCTAGTGTTCTCCTGAGGCAAACAGGATGGGGTGGGGCTTCACCTGCACCTGCTCCTTAACCCTTCTCTGACTCTCTCTGCAAAGCCCACCTCCATCCCACCATCCTGTCACCTCATGCGCAGAAAAAGGAAAAACTCTGGCAGCAGTGTGGAGGGGGCCGGGGAATCCAGAACTTCTCCTGGGAGCCCGGAGCCTCAGCCCGCAAGTACAGGGTCCTGCCCCATCCCTCTCCCTGGCCCAGGTACCGCACAGTGCTCAGACCCAGATACAAGATTGGCTACAAGACCGTGACAGACCTCGCCTGGCGCTGCTGCCCTGGCCTCACGGGAGAAGGCTGTCCCGAGCACCTGACCGACCACGGGGCCACCCCAGCCCAGCCAGAGCCTGAGCCCCAGATTCCCTCAGGGCAGCTGGGCCCAGGGCCCCGGCTGCCTTCTTCTGGCCCAGCAGCCCCCAGCCCCTATGGTGAGTCGGCCCACAGAGGCCCTGCCAGGTGAATAGGTTTCTTGGGGCGGGTGGGGAGGGGGGCTGACCCAGGCAGGCTGAGCTCTGGCAGGGCTGGGGAGGGTGCATCTCACACTGCGCTGGAGGCAGAGCTCACAGAACTCACAGAGCATCCCCTCCCCTCCAAAGCTAAGAGAGCTGTATGCTCAGTGGGAGGTCAGCTTCGAGCAGAAGCTCTCTCGCGTGGCCTGGCAACAGGACAGCCAGAGGGAGGCGGGCCAGTGATGGCCCTAGGGTTCTCTCCTCCTCTTTCCCAGGAAGGAAAGGCCCCGGGCTGTTTGGTGAGCGGCTGGAGCGCCTGGAGGGTGACGTCCAGCGCCTGACCCAAGCGTACGGTACCTTCAGTGGCCTGGTGGACGGCCACGAGGACCCCAACAGGATGACTGATAGTCCAAGGCTTCCTGCCGCCCCTGTGGGCTTTGGGGTCATCTCCGAGGGCCTTGTGAAGGCCAGAGACAGAGCCGGAGGGCCACTTCCGCCCCCCCTGGACGAGATCCTGAGCAAGGTGACGGAGGTGAGCAACACTCTGCGGACCAAAGTGCAGCTGCTGGACGAGGTGCACGGGCTGGCTCTCGGCCACGAGGCTCACCTGCAGCGGCTGCGGGACGCCCGACCATCTCCGCTCACATCGCTGGCGCTGCTGGACGAGTACGTGGACCGACGGCTGCACCGGCTCTGGGGGAGCCTCCTGGACGGCTTCGAGCAGAAGCTCCAGGGCGTCCAGAGCGCCTGCGACCTGGGGGTGCAGGAGGTGCGGCAGCGGTGTGAGGAGGGCCAGGCGGCCAGCCGGCGGCTGCACCAGAGCCTGGACGGCCGCGAGCTGGCCCTGCGCCGGGAGCTGTCGCAGCTCGGGACCAGGCTGCAGGGTCTGAGCGCGGCAGGCGGGAGCAGCTGCTGTGGCCGCCGGCTGGCCTTGATCAGCGCCCGCGTGGACAACCTTGAGAGGAACCTGCGGGCGGTCACCGAGGCCCAGAGGGGCCACGGCCCCCTCACCAGGGACGAGCTCGAGCGGCTCTCGGCCGCCATGCTCGATGGCCATGTGGATGGGCTGCTGGAGGGCCTGGACACCCTAAACGGGACGGAGGGCGGAGTGCGAGGCTGCTGCCTGGGGATGGAGGAGGGGGGCTGGGAGGCGGGCGGCTTCAGAACATCGCTGGAAGAGCGCGTGCAGAACCTAGAGGAGCGCCTGGTGACCCTGGCGGAGGAGCTGAGCCCCAAGAGCGCCGCCCCAGGCAGGTCGGCCCGGCCCCTGGTGCAGACAGAGCTGGCCGTGTTGGAACAAAGGCTCGTCTCCCTGGAGACCTCGTGCACCCCCGGCACCACCTCAGCCATCCTGGACAAGCTCGAGGCAGAGGTGAAGGCCTGGCAGAGCCGGAGCGAGGCCCTCCTCCACCAGGTGGCCAGCCACGCCGCCCTGCTCCAGCAGCTCAACGGCACTGTGGCCGAGGTCCAGGAGCAGCTGGCAGAAGCGACCGGCCGTTCCCTTCAAGGCGAGATCACCCTGCTCAAGGTCAACCTGAACTCCGTAAGCAAGTCCCTCACGGGGCTCAGCGACTCCGTCAGCCAGTACTCGGAGGCCTTCCTGGCCGCCAACTCCTCCCTGGACGAGCGCGAGCGCAAGGTGGAGGCTGAGGTCCACGCCATCCAGGAACAGGTCAGCAGCCAAGGCTCTCGGCTTCAGGCTGGCCACAGGCAGGTCCTGAGCCTGAGCGGGGAGCTGGAGCGACTCAAGGCCGGCGTGGCCGATGTGGCCGGCGGGCTGAGCCGCTGCCAGGACACAGCGCAGGAACTACAGCACATGCTGGGCCACTTCGACCGGAGGGTGGCTCAAGTGGAGGGTGCGTGTGGGAGGCTGGGCCGACTGGCAGCAGGCCTGGACCGCTTGCCTACCGAGTCGCTCCGGCCCAGGGAGGGCCTGTGGGGCTACGTGGACCAGCTGAATCGCACGATGGCTCAGCACACGCAGGACATCTCCCGCCTCCAGGATGACCTCCTGGACTGCCGGGCCCAGCTGGCTGAGCAGGCACGGCCCCGGCCAGCTGACTAGGCAGGCCAGACAGAACCCAACCCTGGATCCCACCAACCCTGGGGATACCTGTCGAGCCCAGCCTCGTCCAGCAGTGACTACCAGCCTCCCTGGGCCAGCGTGGATGCCACTTCAGAGGCCGTGGAAGGAATAGCCGTGGTCCAGCTCCATAGGACTGTCCCAACCACAAAAATCAACACTCAGTGCCGTGCCAACTGGACAAATCAGGATCGTGGTCAAGGCAAGGACATCACGCCTGAAGGCCAGGGCGGACCTGAGAGACCTCACAATCCAATGTGCACGTTGCTCTTCTGCAAAAACACCAGGGGCAGCACCTGCACAAGCACCCACAGGCCCAGCCACCTGTCCACATCTCCCCTGGTCCTGGCAACAGCCCCCACCCTGTGGAGGCTTCTGGTTCTCTTGCCTCCTTAACTTCTCTCCCTAGCCGTCTGGGCTCAGTTTCTGCAGGAAGGTGGCACCCACTGGCACTGTCCTCATACCTGGCAGCTTTGTGGATACAGTTTCTGAACCAAGGACCAGAGGTTTCCAGCTCTCCCCATCCTCTGGTCCTTCTGGACAGAGCAGAAACACAAAGACTCAGCTGAGAGTTCTTTTTATTCCTTTTGACCCTCCTCTCGGGTGAGGGCTTTCTTAGGCAGCTGTACATTCCCTGAGAAAAGGACCGGCCCCAGACCATCTATTTCGAGACCCACATCAATTTATCCTTTTCCTTCTCTTTCCCAGAGATGCTTCAGGGCCTCTGGTCCCCACAGCCTCCTCTCCTTTCCATTTGGGGGGGAATCCTGCCCACCCTCCCCCCCCAGGTTAGGGCCTGTCTCCAGAGAGTAGATGTCATGGTCTAAAACAAGCCCAGACTCTGAACAGAAAGCCAGGGGAGAAAAAGGGCTCCAGGCCTCAGTTTGCAGCATCCGAGCAGAACCCCAGTCCCACCTGGGTGTTCACTAAGTGGTGAGAAACTCAGGTCTGACACCGTCAAGAGACAACCTGAAAACAGTGTTCATGCGGCCTGCAGAGCTCCCAGAGACCCTGATGCCCGTCTCTGCTGAGGCTCCTGGCCTCAGTTTCCCCACAGCCACACAGGCCTTCCTGTGCTATGTTCCAGGTCTCTATACCCCTGCCTTCTGGTTTCTTCCCTCCACTGTGGTGCTGTTGGGGGAGGGCAGGCCTGGATTAAAGCTTTTAGCCCGTCTAAAGGTATTTTCTTCCCCAAGGACACTAGGCTGGAAGGCTGCAGTGGGCTGCCAGCCCGGCTTCCTACAGCCCCTCAGGCAGGAGCTCGCTCAGCAGCTGTGTGGGCGCTGGATGGACTGGCCAAGTCTAGGGCGGGAGGGCAGGTCACCGCCCCCCGCCCCCCGCCCTGGCAGGGTTTGGCGCCATGTCCTCGGGGAGGTGCTCAGAGGAGCGGGAATAGCAGCTGGGTACAGGTGAGGCCTGTGGGGAGCCACACACCTTCAGCCCTCCCACTGCTCTGGAATCCCCATTCCTTGATGTCTGAGCTCCCAGGGTTGGGGTGTGCTGAGACCCTGGAGGACAAGGGACAGCAGTGAAGTCCGGCTCAAGAGCTGTGGGAAGGGTCCGGGGTCGTGCAAGGGTCTGGCTTCAGAGGGTATGGTCCATGCTGTCAGGACGCTGCTTGGCCACGCCCCACCACTGCCGCCAACCCCTTCCTGTGCAGACAGGTCTTGAGCCTCACAGGCCTTTGTCTTCTCCCTTTCCTATCAGGGGTCAAGGCAGTGTGCTGGAGTGACAGGGACAGGGATGTCAAGGGCATGGAGAATCCCGCAAGGGCCCAGGTCACCATCATTTAATTGCCACAGGGCAGTTAAGAGCCTGGAGCAGCCGGCCCGCCTCCCACAGATCAGCTGGGGAAGGCAGGAGATAGGACAGGGAGGAGAGAGGGCCTCTGTGTCTGCCAACAAGCCCTCAGCCCCTCCCCCGCCCTTCAGTGGACCGGCCCTGTGGCAGCCAGCTTCCAACCTCCCACTCCCCGGGACTCCCAGTCAGTTCTGGGTCTGGCCAGGGAGGAGGGGGCAGCAGGGGCCGGTTCAGGGCAGGGCATCGAGGTCCACCGTCATCAGGGGCTCCCGCCAGTAGCAGAAGCTGCTGTATTCAGGATGGGCCAGGTCTGTGCTGGGGCCACGGGCCACAGGTGGGAAGAGGAGCTCAACCACCTCGCCCAGCCGCTCATACCTGTGGGCAGAACAGGGTCAGCACCAAGAACCTGAGCAGCCGCCAGGCCCCCGCCCCCATCACAGCTGGCAGAGATTGTGTGTCCCCACCCCGGCCCCCAGCACCAGGAGCCCTGGGTGGAATTGAGACCCAAGGAGAGGCTGGGGCATGGGGATGTGGGAGGGCGTTGGGGGAACCCATGACAGAGTTAGGCCTCACGTGGATTTGTGGTTCTTCATGAGCTCCTGGATGAGCTCTCCCCGGGGGTTGACTGTGAAGATGCGAGATTCAGGGAGTCCCACCTGCCGGTAGGCAGTGACATCCTGTGGGGGACACAAAGGGGCTGGTGGGCTGGGGGACAGGGAGGAGGTGGCTTAGCCCGGGGGCGAGGGGACACACTCACGTTGGGCCTGTTCCCAAAGGCAGCATAGAAGGGCTGTTCGTTGGGCAGGAACAGCTTCCGGATGTCACTCAGGCAGGCAATTTTGAACACCTCTGGTTTCTTCTCAATCACCTCCCTAGGGCCGCCAGGGCCATGGGCAGGAACAGAAACCAAGGAGAGGCAGCCATCAGAGGAGGGCAGGGTCGGGTGACATGGGGTTGGACTTAACTGACACCCAAGCAAGGCCTGATGCCGGCCTGGCCTGAACAGGCAACGAGCCTGTCACTCCCCCCGCAAGGGCCCCTGGGCTTGTACCTGTGGAGGGCAGAGAAGAGGCTGCTGGGAGACAGCAGGATGGGGCCCTTGGGGAGGCCGCAGCCCCGCTCGCTCACCCACCGCAGGTAGGCCTTGGTGAGGTCAGCCATGCCAATGGCCCGTGCCGAGCAGTACAGGAACTTGTACCCGTTTCTGGGGACGGGGCATGGGAGTGGCGAGAGCTGTCAGAGACCAGCCGTTCCCCATCCCCCCATCCCCCTTGGCTTCAGCCAGCTCGGCCCAACCCCAGGGCTCTGGCCTTCAAACCCAGAGGCCTTTGCAGGGAGGGGACTTAGGGGAAACATCAAAGAGAGGGGGCCTCAGTCCCAGGGAGGAGTATGGACAGCATCCCAAGGCCCAGGTGGACCAGCACGGACAAAGGTTTGAGCAGGTCTGTAGGCCTCCCCTCCACCATGAAGACCAGCAGTTGATTCAGAGACCAGACAACAGGAGACAAGTGTTTCACGGGAGAATGGAAGACTATCCAGGGACATGCCCAGGGTTTCTTCCCTGTGGGTCCCCAAGCCTGGCTTCCAGGGCAAGGGCCCTGGTGGCCTCAGACATCCTGTCATTCCCTCCCTGGGGCTCTGCCCCAGCCCAGGCACTCACAGGTGGATTTTGTGGTAGAGACTGGTGATGCCCTGGTGTGTCCAGTCTTTCCCCAGCTGGGGCAGAATGTGGCCCAGAGCATCTGACCTAGAGCCACAGAAGAGGGGTCGCTCGGAGGCAGCCCCACGTAGCCCTCGTGGAGGAGGGCCTTTCTTGACGTCCCCCTTCCCCCAGCATAGAGGAGGCCAGTCCCAGGCCCTCCCTCTCTCCCCTGGCCAACCAGGCCTCACTTGGTAATGGTCCCGTCGATGTCCGAGATGACCACCTTGTCGTCCCACTTCCACAGATAGATGGTGGCCCTGCACCGGCAGGTGCCCTGGTACTGGGTGGTCACACTGAAGACCACGTCATTGGCACCTTCTTGCAAGTTCAGGCGCCGCTGGGTCCGGGCAAAGGGTTGGGGGGAAGCTGTGATCTGCCACAGCCTGGCATGTCCACCCCCCACCCCCCGCAAACCGTGGTCTCTGATCCCCACAGGCTTCTCGTTGCCCTCCTCCTCCCAACTCAGAGAACCTGCCTGAATTCACCAGAGACAGCTACACGCCGACACATCCGGACGGGTAGAGGGCGGCCTCGGGGAGTGAGGGGGTGTGGCGTGCCGGTCATGGCCTGCTCAGGCCTAGACACAAGAGTCCTCACCTCCCTTCCTGCCCCATTGGGATGAAACTCACAGGCCATGACTCCCGCCCAGGCTGCTCAGGTCAGCCCTATGTCTGGCACTGCTCCTGGCATGGAGACACCCCACTCCACAGAAGGGACCTTCTGGAGATCCTCACAGGAAGCCTCCTGCCTGAGGCTAGGGCACTTGTGACATCCCTCCAAAGGGACACCTAGCCCTGTCCTTGGTCCTTAGAGAAGAATCAGGGCAGCTCTCAGCCCAGCCGCTGGCCAAGGCTACTGGGCCCTGGCTGGCCCCAAGGTGGGTGTCACACCGGGGTACCAAGGAGACAGTGGCTGCTCTGTACCAGGCTGTACCTCCCTGATGGAGCCCCACTTGGGGGCCAGGGACTAAGCTCAAAGACAGGACTTGAGGGTAGGGATGGCCTAAATCCGAGGGGCTGCATCAGCCTTTGATTCCTTCAGAGTGGCCTCCAAGAGCCGACCCAGAGCTGGCAACCCACCGCAGGTAGATCCTTTAAGATGGCATAGAGAAGACCTTCCCTATAAGACATCCAGCAAAGAAATGGACTCGTGCGTAAAGCGAGACCTTGGCCCATGGCTTTGAAGCGGAAGCTGCCAGGGAGACTGCCAAGGGGACAGATTCTGGGCTTTGGGAAACTCAAGTCCCTCGGAGCTGAATAATTTCAGCCCCGGGCCCCGCCCCGAACACAGCCTCGCACACACTCACGATCTGATTGGAGGAGAGCCGGAGGGACTTCTTGTAGGTGGGAGTGTAGGCGGGAGGCGAAGGCAGCAGAAAGGGGGCCTCCAGGATCACAGGGCTCTCCAGGGCTTCATCCTCACTACTCAGGACATCAGTCTTCTCCCTGCGGGCAGCCCGGCTCTCAGGCCACTCTCCCCAGCCAAGGCCCTACACACCTGGTAGACCGTCACCCCTCAGCCCAGGCCACAAGGAACCTGGTGCCGGTCTCTGCCCCTCCAGAGGATCAGAAAAACCCCAAGGTGCCTCCGCATTCAGAGAGGGGGACGGGGGGCCTGCAGTATGCACCCAGAAAAGGCCACAGAGCTGGAGCAGGGAGACCCAGGGTTCCCGGCCCTCAGCACACAGCCAGGATAGCCTCGGAGATGTTTTTCTGTAAAACCTCAGGGTGCGTCTTAGGGTTTATTACCCTTCCCACCTGCTTTGGCTTCAGCTGACCTGCCCTTGGTCATCCCCCACCCAAGCCTGGGTGTTCTGGTCACTTGAGAGGTGAAGAAGGCACGATCAGCATGCCCCTGGCAAAGAGGGGAGGCCCCGCCCCTCCGTAAGGCAGTAGGCCCTTGTCTGGGCCAGGAGTTTGGGTACCCAGTTCCCAGCTCTGGGACTTCTAGTGTAGCTCTAGGCCTCAGTTTTCCCATCTGTGAAACGGGGACATTCCTCAAGACAAAGAAAGGGTGTAGAAGTGATTGGGGAGTGACAAGGAACCATAGCTGGGGAGAGGTGCCGGCGCCGCCCCCACGGGCATCTCCCCGAGGCTCGGCTCCAGCCGCAGGGCTCGGGGCAAGAGATCCGGCTCACCCCTGCTGCTCCCTGGCGGTGGTTTTCTCCGTCTGGGCACCGCGCTGTGGGAGGACCAGACATCCAGTGAGCCCTGCCTCCTGTCCCTGCTGCCCACACCCTTTGACCACGACCACTCACCTCCTCGGCTGGGAAGTCCCGGCGTCGCCAGGAAAACCACCACCGCCCACCCTTCCGGGGCATCTTCTCCTTCTCCAGTTTGTCCACAGTGCTCTATGGGCAGATAAAGGCCATGGCATTTTCCCCTGCACCAAAAAAACCTACCTTTCGTTGCCCCCACAAACCCAGAGTCTGGGGCTGACCCTAGAGCGAGGCACTGTCTGACGTCTGGAGGCTGAGGAAGCACACCCAGCTCCATCCTGGGGCTCCAAGCAGCGACTCATGGAGCTAAGCACAGGAGACCAAGGGCCATTCCCGCCAAACCCCTCTCTACCCTGGCCTGACCCCCAGCTCCAGCCCAGCCTCGGCCTGGCCTCCAGATCCTTGGGCCGGTCATGGCTCCTAGAGTAGCTGAAGGCCATGCTTTGGGAGCTTCTCAGAATCTAGTTACTGTGTGATGCCAGCAAGTGACAACAGGAAGAACCGTCTATCGCCAGCATTCTTCAGCCCCCAAGGTCAGTGACTCTATCCCAGGCTCGGCCTCCCTCTCTCCAAGTTACCACTGCTGTCTGGTGGGGCCAACGTGACCTGGGGAAGATGGTGACTAGATTCAGGCTAGGTAGCCCCAGGGGGAGCCCCGGAGAGCCCAGGCCTGGGCCCACCCAGGAGATATATCAGCGTCCTACAGACAGAAAGGTGAACCCAAGTTAGGAGGACATGACCTGGAGATGGGTCAGCCACAGTATCCCCTTGAGCTGGAAACAGCCTGGGGGAGTCTCCCAGGGGCCTCAGGGGTTGGATCTGTCTGGGGGAGGCGAGGAGAGCCAAGCAGGAGAGTAACTGTCCTCCCTCCCACAGGCTCTGGTCCTAGCTCGGACCCATAGCCAGCTAGAGGACAGAGCCGACTGTCACCCGAGGGGGATGCCAGCTGTCAAAATCTGGTTGGTGATGTTCTTGGGCAAGTCTAACTAACTGAAGAACAATGGACCAGATTGGGGTTGGGGGGCACAGATCAGGGTAGTGGGGGCAGATGCAGGTCCGTGAGGGTAGAAGTTCTGGGAAGGACTGAAAAGACTAGGTTCCTTCCCACCTCTGAGGATCAGCACATACGGTTCCCTGCCCCTCATCTGCTTACAGATTACTCATCCTCCAGCTCTCTGCAGGGGCCATGTACTCAGAAAACCCCCGTTTAGCCTCTCGAAGCGACCCAGCCCCTCCTGCCAGATACTCACGGTTGAATTTCATATTCATCTGGCTGAGTCTTACGATTAACCGTCTTTCTAGGAGGACGTGACTGTGCCCAGCCTGGGCCTGGCACACAGAAGGTACTCAGCGAATGCAGGCCAATCAAGCAAGCAGTGCCCGCAGTCCAGCCTGGAGAGGGGCTTGGGCCCTCTGTCTCCCAGGCCTCATCTCTCAGATCTAAAAGCCTCCTGTGGAAGGTTATCATCCTCCCCCGGTGTGCCCTGAGCTCCTTCGAAGTCAATGCCAACCCTGATAGGATTCAGCCAGGCCAGGATGGGGCTTTGTCCACACAGCATGGGGTGAGGCTCCAGAGGCCCTCGGTTGCCCCTCTCAGCCCCAGGCCCATCTCTGCCCACACTCCACTTCTTGGCCAGGGGCCCCGTGGCTGGGCCCACTTTCCTCAGCAGGCCCGGTGGTGCTGTAACCATTACCTTGGGCAAGTTCCTTTGGAAGGCTTGCAGGGAGAGGATCATGGGGGCAGCCACAGCCCAGTTATAATGCCTGCAGAGATAGAACAGGGAGTCGGGGCTGCAGCAGCCACGGGGCAGTGGAGGGCAGGGCGACCCTGGGGCCACCAGGGGCCCAGGCTTGGTACTCACTTCTCATTGATTTTCACCACCAGGTTTGGGTGCTCAAGGAGGCCAGGGTTTTGGACGAGGTCCTGGTAGGAGACGATGTGCTGGTTGAACTTCTCTGGGCACAGAGGCAGAGAGTAAGGAGTGAGGCCAACATATCCGACGGGACCCGCTTCCCCAGCCCCTCCTGGCTCCCCCACACTCCAGCACTCAGGCCTCCTGCAGGCTGGGTCTGGGACCCAGCAGGCCTCCTCCCTTCCTGTGGTGTTTGCACCTGCTGTGTCCACCCCAGGTACTCACAGTCCAGCATTCACAGGCTAAGTCACAGCTCAGCATTAAGTGTCTGCTTGGTGGGGGCCTCAGGAATGCCCTGCCCTCGCTGGCTCCACGGGCAGAGAAGAGCAAGGGCGCCCAGCCTAGCCTCACACCTCAGCTGTCCCTCCCACTCTGGGGGCCTCCCCGCCCTCCCCTAGTCCCTGGGCTCAGTGCAAATCCTTGGAAGGGCTCAGGCCTCGGTCGGACATACCCAAGGAGATGTCCTGGCCGTCAGCCAGCCCGCCACAGAGGGAGACCGCGATCATAGCCACCACGTCCGGAGGGGGTTCTGGTTCCCGTTCGGGGCTGGGGTCGCCCAAGGGCTTCTGGCTGTTGGGTTCACTCCACCTCCTGGGCCCCAGTCCACAGTCACTGGGGGCAGAGGGGCCAACAGTGATGTGACTACAGGGAGTCTGAGAGGAGGGGCCCACTGCTCTCAGGCCCATGGTAGATAACCCCTGGCCCCACGGACCCCCACCCCAAGACACCCAGGCACCCAGCACCCAGACACCTGCGGGGGAAGTAAAGCGCTGCATTCTCAGAATCCAGAGAGGGCAAGTCGTCCAGATAGATGTCACTGGGGCCCAGGTGCTGGCTTCTCTTCAGGGGGCCTAAGGGCAGAGGGGACACCTCTAGTCCCAACACGTGCTTTGTAGCATGAGCCCGAGGTGTCCCCTTGTTTTTCAACACCCTAAAGCAGCACTGTCTGGTAGAACTTTGGGATGGTAGAGATGTCCCCATCTGCCTGCCCAGTACCGCTAGCCACGCACCACTATGAGCACACTGGAAATGCAGCGTGACAGAGACACGGAATGGTATATGTTATTTAATTTCCATTAATTTTAACTACACTTTACATGACCATATATAGCCAGCAGCTACTGATTTCAGTCCTAGAGCCTTCCCACACTCCTCGGATAAACCCCAGCTCCTGTGCCAGGAATGGTCTAGCATCTGTTCATCTCGTCGGCTTCCTCCCCCAACCCTGCCTCGCTCAAGACACACCAGCTGCCTCCCTTCCTAGACAAGCAACCTCGCTCTCACTTCAGGGCCTTGGCACGTGCTCTTCCCTCGGCCCCAAATTCTCTCCCCTTGATCCTCACTTGGCTGGGTCTTTAATGTTCGCGTCTCAGCTCATGCCTCCCCCACTCGGAGAGGCCTTCCCCCGGCCCCAAATTCTCTCCCCTTGATCCTCACTTGGCTGGGTCTTTAATGTTCGCGTCTCAGCTCATGCCTCCCCCACTCGGAGAGGCCTTCCCCGGCTGCGTGACTTAAATAGCCTCTGTGCCCACCGACTCTGTTCTGTGTCACCCATGACATGCTCTTCCCCGCTTACGCATGCTTCATCTAGCTCCCTCACTGCGAGCCTGTGAGGGCTGGTGCCAGGCATAGTGCCAAACACATAGTAGGTGCTCAAAATGTGCTTGAAGTACCAGAGTCACCCAGGGGGTGATGCAAGGCCAAGGAAAAAGCCCTGGGAGAGGGCCAACCATCACTCACCTTTCCCCCCGGAGCCCCCCTCTGGCTGCCTGGCGGCAACGGGGCCCTCCATGGTGGCCCAGCTCCGGGATTTCGAGGGAGGGGGCAGGCCTGCCTCCCTGCGGCTCTGAGGCTTGGTCTGCTTTCTCTTGGGAGTGGGGAGAGGGGAGCCCACCAGAGCAGGAGGGTCCATGTCTGTAGGAGGAAGGTCGGCACCAGCCCCTGCTTGCAGGATCAGGGTTCCCGAAGGGTCCGCACCAGCCACAGATGTGGAGGGAGCGCTGGGCTCTCCCTGAAGAGGAGAGGCTGGCCCGGCCCTGCCATCAGCAACCTTCAAGGACTCAGGCCACTCTGCTTTGGCCACCTTCAGTCAAACAAATGGAGGAGGGGAGGGGATGTGAACAGTGCAGAGCCTGCTTTCCGCTCCCCACAAGGCCTTGGGGGTCCAGGTCTCAGTCACTGTACTTCTGACCTGCAGGAGACCCCCGAGCCCCTGAAAGGCAGAGATGGGGGGCTGACGTGGAGACACTCACCTTCGGCAGCCTCCCCCAGGCCCACTGTATGTGGGACTCAGCTCCTGGGGGGCCGGGCTCAGGGGTCCGCAGCTCCAGCTCCGAGTCACTCTTGGGGGACGTGCACCCACCCGGCGGGAGGCTGCGAGAAGCAAGAATTTAGAGGCCCTCGAGCCAGCCTGTTGCCCCCGCCCCCCAGTTCCCACCCCAGCCTGGGGGGGAGAATATATTTGTAACACATATTTATGCTTTTGCTGGATCCAGAATGTATAAATACACAGAAAACTGCTACAAACCAACAATAATGAGACAAGCTAGTAAAAAAAAAAAATGGGCAAAGACTTGAATAAACACTTGGCATAGGAGATGTAGAAATGGCTGGTAAACAAACTAAATGTGTTCTGTGTCATTACTCATCAGGAAGATATAAATAGAAACCACTCTGAGACCTTGGCCTTGGGTCTCTTTCCTGCGGGCCACCTGGACTCTCACCTGGCCTGGGGGCCCCACTCGCCATCAGAGTAGGGGTAGAAGTCTCTGGCTTGCAGTGAGGACTCCCCTTCTGACTGGATGCTGCTGAGGGGGCTACAGGGAAATCAATGGTCATGGACAGGCCCAGGCACCCCTGGGTGTCAGGGGCTCGGGGAGGTGAAGCCCAGAGAAGACAAGGCCCTTGTCCAGGGTCACAGAGCATCAGCAGAGGAAACAGTGCTCGAATCCTGGGTGGTATTCCCACGCCCTTAGCCCCCAACCTGGTCCGCACATACCCTGAGGGCTCTGGCCTTGGCTTTTCCAGCAGGGACAGCTCACTGTCAGCACCAGTCTCCAGCTCCTCCGAACTAGAACTGGCTGCGACCGCGTCCTCTTTGCGCCTGGGTTTCCTCCTGCGAAGCCTCTTCTTCCGCCCCGTGGAGGACACCCCCTCAGCGGTGGCCTCAGGCTCACTGGCTGTGCTCAGCTGGGAGTCTGAGGGGAACCCGGACAGGTCCCCGCCAGGGATGGGTGATGCGCACAGACAGGGAGGCACGTGTTCCTGTGGGACAGACCAGGGGCTATAGCCTGGGGGGCCACCCTCGCCACCCAATCATTCTGGGCCCTGCCCGAGCCCCAGGGCCCAGGTGTGAGCTCATCTGGGGTCAGGAAAACAGGTATGGAGGCTGGCTGGAGGCAGCACCAACGTGGGCTCACAAGGGCCACTGGCGTCCCGGCTCCCTTTCAGAGATGCAGCAGCTGGGTCCTGGGGACTGCACGTACCCCTGGAAGTTCGTGGCAGGCCAGGGTGCCACACAAACCACACTGTCCAGGTAGAACCCTGGACCTTGGCTACTCATTTCTTCTGCCCACACCTACTTTTCCTTTAAGAGTCAGCCAGACATCACCTCCTCCAGGAAGCCTGCTCTGACTAATCCCAGCCCCAGTTCCAGCCCTTCATTGCCATAACCATATAGCTCCATCATCTGTTGTTTATATGTGTGTCTCCTAGGCTGGTCTGCGAGCCTTCTTTGCAGACCGGGGTGACCCCTCATCCGAGTCCACTGCAAGGTGTCAGGAATAGGAATAGGGGCTTCATTAAAGTCTGTGCAGCTCAAACTGTTGAAACAGCTCTGCTGGCTTGTGTTGGGCTCTGCCTCCCTTCTGATACACCTCTCTCCTCATCCCTCATCCTTCCACGTTCTAACTGCACCAAGCCAGCACCAGATCCAGAACAATCCATCTCATGCTTTCCTGATGCCCCGCTCAAACATGCCGTAGCAGTCTCCTCCTTTTCAGGCTGCCCAGGGAAAGTGTCATTTTCACCCTCTGGGAGCTGGCTCCAGTGCCCTCTTCTGAGAAACCTTCCCCAACTTTCCCTGGGAAGGAAATCCGCTCTTGCTGGTCCCCTCCTGATTCTACTTAGCTTCAAGAGCATGCTGGGAGTGCCAGCCCTAGATGATCCTGGATGTTCCCAGGGGCAGGTCGGTGACAGGCCCCAACATCCCGCCCAGAGGGGGCAGGTGCCACAAGGCACTTACATCATCACTCTCCAGCTCCTGAACGAAGAAGGCCTCCCCGCTGTCCCCCAGCTTCATGTGCAAGTCCACAGGCTCCCCGTTGATCTCAATGTCTACCTGTAAAGGGGCGTGGTGGTGCACAGTCCCTACCACTGTCCCTCACCCCCACATTCTAGTCTACCAGCCCCCCACCCCTGCGGATGACTGCACTTGCTGGAACTCCTGCCCCCCCAGCCGCTGGTGTGCCCGGCTGCCCCCACCCCGAAGGTCTCTGCTCAGGCACCCCTTTGCAGAGAGGCTGGACTGAGTTCTCACCCCCCCGCTCCATTTCCCCATTCTCTGGGCTTTCTGGCATGTCTCAGTATCCTTGTGTCTGCCTTGGTTTCTATTCTTTCTGCCACACCCCATCAGAACAAGACATGACCCATCTTGTCGCCACTGTGTCCCCAGCCCCCAGAGTCCTTGCTGACTACATGAACAATGGTCCAAATGGCCATTTTCTGGGCACCGAATGGAGAGTTTGAGCTGGACTCTCCCCTTTAACCTCCCAGCAACAGTGTGTAGTGGTTCCGATCATACCCGCTTTACAGACATGGAAAGAGAGACCCCAGGGGTGTTAAGAAACGTACTGGGAGGCGGACAAGCGCAGCTGAGAGCCATGAAGTCTGTCCCAGCTCTTCACCACCTAGCTATTCAGTCCCCCAGAAGTTGACGCTTTCCTGTTAGGATTCTGGCATGTTCCCAAGAGCCCCAATGTGAAGGGGATTTGGACCCACCAAACCTCTTGTCACACTCCAAACCTCAGTGCTAACAAACAGCTGTCATGTTTGCCTGGACCCAGAGAAGACAGCGCAGTTTTCCAAAGGGAGGGAAGCTAACCTGTCGGGTGCCTCCCACGTACCTGGCCGTGGCACATTGATATCAGCTCCTACCTCATTCTCCCGCATCTCCCCTCCAGCACCAGGTAGATGAGAGTGTGCGCCCATTTCCCTAGGTGACGAGACTTACCCAGAACGCACAGGGGAGGTCTTAGGAAGCTGGAGCCAGGCCAGATGGCCCCGGGACCAGGACTGCCCCACTGTGCTGCCCCCACAGGAAAATGGGAACCCTCCTGGACCCAAACCCCCAAACCAACCCAAAACTGTTGGAGAAAATGCAAAGGAACAGATGCTTGTCTGGAGCACAGATCCCTACCTGAGGGAGGTCTAGGTCTCTCCTGGGACTGCCCTGGCTTTCAGAGCCCACCCTGCTGTGGTCCCCGGCTGGCCAGCACTCACCACCTTCTCCCGAGACCGCAGGACGCCCAGCTTGCCAAAGCGCACGTGGAAGGGTGAGCATCGGAAGGAGCCGTCCGCCTGCTCCACCACCAGGACGTCAATGCCACCACTCAGCGTGGCCGGGTTCAGACCTCGGTATATGTCCTTCATCGTCCCCAACACTGTCCCTGCCAGCTGCCCCACGTAGTTCATGGCTGGTGCTGGCAAATGGAGGAGGTGCTGGTACCAAGGCCGGGTTCACCTCCCTCAGTGGGGAGGTTCTGCGACCCGATCCCCAGGACCCCAAGCATGGAAGGCGCAGACCAGGAGTGTGGGGCAAAGGTCTTCCCAGGCTTACAGTGTGTTGCCCTCAGAGCGCCTTCACAGACAGGTGGCAGCTGTGCCTGCAGGTGTGGGTTCTAGCCCTGGCTCACCCACCGACCTGCTGTGGGGCCCTTGGGCAGCTGCCTTCCTTCTCCAAGCACCGATCTCCACATCTGTCAAATGAGAACCCCGGGTAAGGTGATCTGGGGTGCCCTGCGTCTCTAAATGCCATGAGTAATGATAATGACCATGGTTTCAGCGGCAGGGCTCGTTCCATCTTCACAACAAGCTGCGAGGCTGGGCTGGGCGGGTGTCATTATTGCTGTTTACAGACAAGCCAGCGGAGGCTCGGAGCGACTGGCCCAGGACCACAACTAGTAAGAACGGGAGCCAGGACTCAGACCCAGGCCTGTGTGGCTGCAGACCCCTCAGTGTGAACCACTGGGTTGGCCCAACTGCAGGGACAGGGGCAGGCCAGCACCCCTCCCTGATGCGATGGGTGGCAGCCTCATGATCTGTTAGGCCCAGGGCCCCGCTGGGTAATGAGTGACAGCCCTAAAGCTGGGTCTCATCCCAGGAAGTAGGGAGGAGTCTCAGTTCTTCCAGTTGGGAAGTGGGTTCATCTGTCTTGCTGCTTCCTGGTCTTAGGAGTTGGAAGGGGACTTGTTGTGCCATCATGGCTGATTTGGGGAGAACTGGGGGTAGGGTACCCCAGGTACCTAAGGCTCTGCCCAGCTCTAGTCCTGGGGTCAGATACTTGAGGGAGGGCATCTCCTATGGCTGGGGGTAGAGTGACCTCCCAGTTTACGGCCCCAAATACCAAACTCCTCCCCAGTTTCCCTGGAACAGGTGGGAATCCTATCCAAGGTCTACAGCCTGACCCCAGTGTCTTTAGGCCACAGTTCTCAGGCCTGACCTCCACTTCTGAGACCCTGGCTCAGCTGGCCGGGCCCTGAGACCCACATTCAGGCTTTGGGCTGGCTCCTACCGCATTGAAGCTGCCCCTCCTTCCCCCAGTCAGACTGGTCTCTCTAGATCTCCCACAGCAGGCAGAGCCGGGTAAGCCAGAAGCAGAAGGCCGTGGCACCAGTGGAGAAGAGCCAGGGCCATAATGAGAGCTGCTTCCACGCTGGCACAGTGCCCACGCCACAAGCAGCAGCTCATGGTCCCTTCCCTGCCAGCCAGGCCAAAGGCCTTCTGTCCCTCTGGCTGCCGGGATCCAGGCCGTTCCACCTCCTCATGGCACTCCCACTTCGCAGACCTTGCCTCAGAACCCCTCCAAGACCACTCCCCAAAGAAGTTGAGTGACTTATAAGCCATAGATGGGGAGGGGCGGGGACAGTGATGACTCATATCCTGGTTTCCTGACTCCATACCATGGTTCCTGCCACCCCACAGCTCCCAAACCACACCACAGTTGTCTACAGGGAGGGCACCGCCCCAGCCCTCCTCTGCACAACCCTACAACGCCGTGCCACTCAAGATGTGGGCTGTGGCCCAGCAGCGTCAGCATCACCTGGGAGCTCATTAGAAACCTAGAATTTCGCAAACATAAGGTACAACTAGAATTGCTCAAATGAAAACTTGGGATAAAACGAAGCTTTCTGGACCCTGAAAATGGCCTTCAAAGTTAATATATAGTTTATCTGCAAAGCACCTTCTGCATGTTAGGTGAAAACTTCCACTTTGGTTCTTTCCTACCACACCAAATTCTGTGAATAAAGGTCTCAGAAGACAGACCAGGCCAGACACGTGATGTGCAGGTCTTTAGATCACTGTACCCAGGAGAAGCAGAGAAGACTCCAGAAGCTTCCAGGAATAGGGGAACAAGCATGGGAGGGGCAGACCACGAGTGGGGGCAAAGGTCTGCCCAGGTGGAGGCTCAGACGTGAGCTCTCTAGCCTTCTGAGGACAAAAGAGCTGCGTTGGACTGTGACAGGCTCAGCCTGACCTTGTACAGAATTTCTCAACTTCAGAACCGTTACCATTTGAGGCTGGACAATCCTTTGCTTTGGGGGCACTGTAGGATGCTCAGCAGCATTCCTGGTGTCTACCCACTGATATGACTATTACACCCCTCCCTGCCAGTTGTGACAACCAAATTGTCTCCAAACATTGTCAGGTGTCCCCCAGGGAATAAAATTGCTCTTGGTAGAGAGCCACTGAGTGGCAGAGATGGCACCGTCTCTGGGGGCGCTGGGTCCTACTCTGATCCAGCCATGGGTCAAGTCACATGCTAGCCTCAGTTTCCCCTTTAAGAAATAAGGCCCCAGTTTTTCAAACCCTCCTTAGCCTAGAATTCATTCCTCCCCGTTCCCCCCACACTATGAGTGGACGTCCTCTACATCTGCCTGCTCAGCATTTGGGGGGGGGGGATTCCAGCAAGCAAAGCCCTGGGCTCCCCTCTCTATCTGCACCCATCTTTGAAGACATCTGCTCTCCCCCAGGACCCGGCTCTGCCTCCTTGGTCATCTCCAAAACCTCTGCTTGGCTCCCTCCTATCACCCTTCACCCCAGACTAACATGTCTAAACTCAAACACTTCGTCTCTCTGAGCTTCGATTGAAATGGGGATAGGGCATGTGTGAGTAATTAATGAGATAATTCACGCAGCATTGCACTGCCCCTGACCACTGTTGAGAGACGTCTTTCCGTATCATTTGAGGCCCTCTGCACGATGGTGGCCTGCTGTTTGCAAAGTGAGCAGACAGACTCCAGGCAGGCCTCACGGGGTGCCCAAGCCTCAGAGCCCACTTTGGGAACACACAGGCCTCCCAGGCCAGCACACAGCTCCACCACAGGGTCTGGGCTCTCAGCCTTTCTGGGTCCCCAGATCTGGGGAAGGGTGAAGGTACAGCGCTTCTCCTAGGACCAGAAGAAGCAGGAGGATAAGCATTCCTATAGCCCTGGAAAGGAGAAAGCGTAATCCCGGGCTCCCCAGCAGCTGTCCCACCTACTGAGACTCACCCCATCTCCGCAGGGTGAGCAAAGGTCAGACCCAGTTTTGCTACACAGGACACGGAGTACCAGAGAGGGTGGGTGACCTCCCAAAGGTCACACAGCCTGGGGTGAAGCTGGGCCAACCTTCCCTGAGAGGTTTTGGCATCTTATCTCCTGATCCCATATTCTGAACGCCCGGGGTCCCACAGCGGCTGGGCCAGGGAGGGGGTCGAAGTGAGACTGGCCCCTCTACCCTTGGCTACCTTCTGATGTCTAGAGATGGTCTCAGGCCCGCGGACAGGAAGAAACGTGGGTCAGATGGCAAGACAGATGGGCGGGGCAGGGCAGGGCTAGGGAAGGGGTACCTCTTCTCAGGCCCGGGTTAGGCCCTACCTGGGGAGCTGCCCACTGGACCTCCGGGATCCGGAGCCGCCGCCCAAGTAGCACCGGGTCAGCAGTAAGTATCGTCCGCCCCGCACTCAGTCGGAGCTTCCGTCTCCTCTAAGACCGGGTGAGATCCCGGCTCCGCCCCTTCCACGAGCCAAGGCGGGTGTCTGCAGGCCCCAATCCGCCCAGGCTCCACCCCTCGAAAAGACCCCGCCTCCGCCCAGGCCTCCGCCCAAGGGCGCCCTTTCGCCTATAGAGGCTGGGCGGAGCCGGAATTCAGGCCCCGCCCCACGCAGGCTCCAACCCGGCCCCGCCCCGCGCCCTAAAGCAGCTAGATGGGATGTCCGGGTGCCCTGCTAGATGGATTTTTTTTTTAAAGATTTTATTTATTTATTTGACAGATAGAGATCACAAGTAGACAGAGAAGCAGGCAGAGAGAGAGAAGGAAGCAGGCTCCCTGCTGAGCAGAGAGCCCGATCTGGGGCTCGATCACAGGACCCTGGGATCATGACCTGAGCTGAAGGCAGAGGCTTTAACCCACTGAGCCACCCAGGTGCCCCTACATGGATTTTTGAATCGGGCCGATTTAGGCCCTCCTGGCCTTGCTTCCACCTCGCTGTGTGACCTAGGGTAAGTTTTCCCCAACCCGAGCCTGTTTTCTGCATTAGATTAGCCACCTTGTAGGATTTTCAAGATTACATGAAATGACTGTGCGGCACCTGGCACTCACACGTCCCCTCCTCAGGGGCAGCTTTTCTTGACCGTCCCTGACACCCCCACCCCCCCGCATTACACCCCTTAGACTGGGCAGGAGCCTCGCGTTATACGCTCACATAGCCCACAGTTGTAACTTCATATTTGCTTAAATGACTATTTGGTTATTGTCTGCCTCCTCATTTGAAGTTGAACTTTGTGAAAGCAGGTCGCGTTCATCCTTACATGTACCCCAACTTCCAGTTCAGTGTTTGACATACAGCCGGAGCTCAATAAATGCCAGCTCCTTCATTCCATCTGTCCGACCGACGGGCGGAGCGGCAGCGGGCTCAGGACTGCAACCGGCCAGCAGAGGGCAGGCGGTGACCAGCTTTCTGGCCCAGCTGACCGTCCTCTCCGCCGGCAGGCGCCAAGGGAGGGGACAGGTGAACCCAGGTGCGCCGACTTCTGAAGAATCCGTGGGCCCGCGAGCCACGGCCGGGGCGTCGGGCTAGGGCACGACCTTGCCCTTCGGATCTGTAGCTCGCGGTCTGACCTGGATCAGAGACCCCTCTGCCAATTTGTATGGATGTACGGACCCTGCAAAGATAGACTGAGAAGAATCAGGAGGTGAGGGAGTTTGCTGTGAAGGCGGAGGGCACCGACGAAAAGCTGGGGGTGGGGTGGGGCGCAACTGTAAAGACCCCGGCTTAGAGGGTCCTGGGTGTTCGGGAGTGGGAGGTGGTCGCCATTGTTCTGTGACCCAGGGGTCACACACTCAGGGGTCCCCACCCTAGCAAAAGTCATGTGGTAGCAGTCCTAAAGCCAGGCAGAGTCTGGCTGGTATCTCCGAAGAGCCCTGCTGGGAGCAGAGCTATCTTGAGGTGGCCCCAGGACAGCAACGCTGGGAACAGACCTATGGACGTATGATATATAACCATGATATTTAACCGTGGATACAGGAATCCCTCAAGCAGGCCTGGGAAGAAAGGAGAGGTCCAAGATTATGGCTAGAAAGGCCGCAGTCACTCTTCGAAACTCCATTTTCTCATCTGCAAAACGGAGAGAACACCTGCCTTACCACCGTATTGTGACGATTAAGCAGGTTGAACTACAGCAGTGGTTCTCAACCTTGTGTGTGTGTTGAAATCACCGTGCACCGGGATCACCTGGAAAATCTGGGGGTGACTGCAACGTGCGGCCAAGGCTGAGAACTACTGAGCTAAATAAAAAGCTGAACACAGCACAGGGCACACACTAGGCATTCAGTAATGTTTATCACATTAAAAAAAATTTTTTTTTAAGGAAAGGAGCACATATTGTTTTCATTGTTACTCGTTAGAGAAAAAAAAAAAAGTTGGTATAAAGGTTGTTGCAGAAATTGGATTTCCAACAGGCTTGTTTCCGGAACTGTGAATCATCTGGGATTTGGTGATTTTGGGGGTGGGGGAGACTGAGGCAGCCTCTGATAATATGACTTATCTCAGTGCCCAACTGAACTGAAGGAGGCAGGCACACCGCCCCCCCCCCATTCTAGCTTGCCGTTTATGTAACCATTTCCAAGGCATCCTGCGGATGCGGGAGCAGCCTGAGCACTTGTGTTGATCATTTCTGGGGTTAAGGATGGAGGAAGCTATTTTCTCCTCTGTGGGTATTCTCAGCAGGTGGGCCTGTACCATTGGCAACTGTTTGTTTCCTGAATAACCCACACGCACAGGTGATCCCTCCTTCTCTATGGGCCTTGGTAACTTTATGTGCTTCATTAAATTACAGCCCAGTGATTATTTACGGTGCCTCACCATTTCTTTGCTGGGCGAACCTGGCATGAAGTGGGAGGACCTGCTCACCCAGACCTGCAGCTGTGACCATTTGTCTTGGCAGCAAGACTGGGCCCGAGAGCCGCTCCTCAGTCACTCCTCGTGGCCTCATTGAAAGGGGAGAAGAGAGGCAGAGGGACCAGTGGCTCACTCCCTCCAGTATGGAGGCATGGGATTGGGGCAGGCAGTTGATGTCTGGCTAGGATGATCAGATTTAGCAAATAAAAATAAAGGACACCCGGTTAAATCTGAAGTTCGGATAAATAACACAAGTGGTTTGTTTTACTGTAAGTATGTCTCATGCAATGTGGGACATATTTATACTAAAACAATGTCATTCTTTATCTGAACATCAAATTTAACTGGTCAAATAGCCAAGGAAAACCCAGCACAGGGAATTTGCTGCTGTGCCTTCTGCTCAGTGTTGCCACATTTAGCTTCCACCTGTCACTGCCCTGCTCCAGAACTGTGCATGGCTCCCATCCACCTCCATAGCACAACCTGAGCTCCCTGGCTTGCTGTGCTGGGACTTGCTCTTCCTCCAGCCCAGCTGACGTGCTTGGGCCCTGACCCACATCTACCGCCCATGTTTTCTCTGATGGCATGTGGCCCGCCCACTCCCAGACGCAATTGCAAACACTTATTGAGCCCCTCCTGGGTGCAGGCACCATGCTTAGTTCCTCATCTGCATAACCTCATTTGATTCTCACAAAACCTCACACGGCAGGGAACAGAAGTGACCCTATTTTATTGATGAAGAAACATGACCCAACCCAGTGATTCTTAAAATGAGTTCCTGTGTCAGCAGCAGCAACAGCAACACCTGGGACCTTTTTAGAAATGCAAACTCTCAGGCCCTGTTCCACACCTATGAGTCAGAAACTCTGAGGGTGGGGGCCCACCCATCTGTATTTTAATAAGACACCCCCACCCCACCCCCACCCCCGACAGTGTTTCTGATGCACTCTAGTTTGAGACCTACTGGTTTTTGGGTTTTTTTTTGTTTTTTTTTTTAATTTATTTGACAGACAGAGATCACAAATAGGCAGAGAGGCAGGCAGGAGAGAGATAGGAGGAAGCAGGCTCCCTGCTGAGCAGAGAGCCCGATGTGGGGCTCGATCCCGGACCCTGGGATCATGACCTGAGCCGGAGGCAGATACTTTAACCCACTGAGCCACCCAGGCACCCCGAGACCTGCTGTTCTAAGAAGTGAAGTGACTGCAGCAGTTTGTCACCAGGCAGAGGTCTGGAGGATGGCAGAAGACTGCCAGGCAGGGTGTTCATGATCTCACTGAGCACCTTACCTGGGCCAGTCACTAGAGATACCGCAGAGACCCCACAGTCTTGTGATGGATGGGGAGAAGAGAAAGGACAGACAGGTAGTCTGGCAATTGCTACCCAAGATAACTAGGCTTAGGTGGGCCAAGCCCAGGAGCCCATAGCAGGATGGGAGGGGTCAAGAACGGCTTTCCCAAGTAGATCCCCAAGCTTGAAAAATAAGTTGTAATTAGTTAGATGAAGAAGGGTGGATATGATGTTCCAGGTGTGGGAACTACTTTGTACAAAGGCCCTGCAGAGCTACTGGAAGGTGGTTCAGTCTTGAAGATGAAGCGGGGATGGGGGGAGGCGGAGGAGGTATCAGATTGTGGGAAGAGGGTTCTTTGCCCTCAGAGAAAAGGAAACAGCTTTAATGGGTATTGAGAAAAGCCCTCTGGTTCCTGGTGCAGCAGGCACTAGGGAAGATGAGGGTGGAGGGTGAAATGCAGGGGTGCCAGGCCTTCTCCCACCCCTAGATTCAGGCTGTTTTTGCCCTCCAAGGCATCTGCAGACACTCAACCCCCAATCGCAGGAGAGGGCAGGTGCTCAGTGCCAAGACCTGATTCGCGGAGCTCGAAGCCCGCTCCTTCCGGGACTGAGAGGCGGGACTGGGGAAGCAGGACCCGTCACTGCCCCACCCTCTGCTGGCCCCACCCACCCTCCAGCCCCGCCTGCTTCCTGCCCCGCCCCCTGCCTCCGGCTCCACCCTCCACCGCCGGCTCGAGGAAGCCGGGCGCTGGGCTACTGGCCTTGGTTGCTTTTGCCTCCCGTGTTCCCTTTTCCCTGCTCATGTGGCAAAGGCCGTGGGGCTCCTGGGGCCTCTTCTCCCAGCTTTTCAAGGACAGGCCCTAGATGTGGCCAGGGATTCCTGGGCTGGAGCGCAGGACACTTGCGTAGCTATCCCCTCTTCTTGCCAATGAAGCCTTTGTTGCCAGCCAAGGACTGACCCGGCCTGGCCAGGTTGCCTGGCAGTGTGGACTGAGACTGGGCAGTTCCCGATTCCAACTGTCCTTCCCGGAAAACGTCAGTTTGGCTGAACCTTAGAATCCGTTTGCAATTTCTAGCCTAGGGAAGAATACTGTAAGATCATTCACCACTGTGTGAAGTGGAGTTTTCTGAGGTCTAAAAGCTCGCAGGACTTACCAGCTGCCCCATGGGCTTGACCTTCAGCGGGAGAACCTCCTGTTCTTCCTCTTTTTATTTGGGTATACCTTCTGCCCCCACCCAGCACCTGGCATCCAGGACCATGTTGCACCATGCTTTGCAATTCAATGAGGGCCCAGCAGGGTGCCCTCCACTTAAATAGATGTTCAAAAATATT